ATGGCGTGGATCAAGGTTTGGCCTTGAGTACGATAAAAGGCCAGATCTCGGCCTTGACTATTCTTTTTCAGAAGCCCATCGCTTCCTACGCCCTGGTTTGCACCTTCGTGCAGGGGGTTACGAGTATTGCTCCGCCTGTTCGATTCCCGTTGCCGCCTTGGGATCTGAACTTGGTGCTTTCAGTTTTGCAGGAATCTCCTTTCGAACCTTTGCGTGGGATTCTTCTTCTGACTCCATCTCAAAAGGTGGCCTTTTTGGTTGCAATCACCTCCGTCCGCAGGGTTTCGGACTTGGCGGCTCTCTTGTACATCACCGTTGCTGGTCCTGCATCAGGACAAGGTGGTTCTGCGTCCTCAGCCGTTCTTCTTACCTAAAGTGGTTTCGGCTTTCCATCTCAAATCAGGACATTGTCTTGACTTCCTTGTGCCCGAAGCCCGTTCACAGGAAGGAGAGGGCGCTACACTGTTTGGATGTGGTTCGCGCTCTCCGTGTTTAATTGGAGGCTATGGCTTCCTTCCGGGAATCGGATTCTTTGTTTATTGTTGCGGATGGTCCTGGGAAGGGTCGGGCTGCTTCGTCTGCCACCATTTCTTGTTGGATTTGCAACACGATTTCTCAGGCGTATGCCATTAGGGGGCTTGAGCTTCCGTTTTCTGTTAAGGCCCATTCTACAAGGGCTATTGGAGCATCCTGGGCCTTTCGTCATGGTGCCTCGGTTTCTCAGGTTTGTAAGGCCGCTACTTTGTCTTCTGTTCACACCTTTGCCAAGTTTTATAAGGTGGATGTTTTAGCATCTGCGGATGCTGGTTTGGGGCGCAAGGTGTTGCAGACGGCTATTTGAGGGGATAGTTTTTTCCGTTGGGTTTTTGTTTTGTTCTGCCCACCCCTGTTTTGGTACTGCACAGTACATGATCCTAGATCTGTTCCCTGTGTCCTTCAATGAATGGAAGAGAAAATAGGATTTTGTACTCACCGTAAAATCCTTTTCTCTACGTTCATAGTAGGACACAGGTCCCGCCCCTATGTGTGGGTGTGTACTCCTAACTGCTTGTTACTTACTGGAGACTTGTCAGCAGGTGGGGGGTTTGGCCACCGGCAGGGGCCGCCCCCAGGCTGCAATTGGTCTTTAGTTTTTTGTGCCTAGCGTCCTTCTCCTGCGGGTGGCGATATAACCCTACCGTACATGATCCTAGATTTGTTCCCTGTGTCCTTCAATGAACGGAGAGAAAAGGATTTTACGGTGAGTACAAACCCTATTTTTCTGGATTTTTGGTTGATAGTCTGTCTCTATCATTTAAAATACACCCATGATAAAAAATTATAGACCTTTAATTTCTTTGTCAGTGGGCAAACTTACAAAATCTGCAGGGTATCAAATAATAATTTTCCTCACCGTACCTTCTTATTCATATTGGAACTTTGCTCATCTAGAATTAGTAAACAGCTTAGTACAGGCCTCAAAATTTCCCCTCGCAATTCATGAGTGAAAATTGCGTGGGGGCAAGTGGAATGCCATAGAGGGGATGCGCCGCCAGCAGGACCTGCAATGGAACACTACCGCCGCTTCCGAGTTGCGATCGCTTGCTTTGTGTGCTCTCCTCCTGGGCCGCTCTGTAGCTGCAGCGGCTGAGGAGAGGAATCAGTTTCGGCTGTCTTCGGCTCTTTTAAGCACCTGCAGCTTCCTCCGCCCAGCTCAGCCGCCGTAGGCTGGGAGGAAGCCTGCAGATTTACTATTGGACATGCAGAAAGTAATGCAGCGCGGGACCTGAAAAGAAAGTTTCATGTCGGCAGATGGAGGATCTCTGTACCCCCCCCCCCCCCTACCCCCCACCCCC